CAGTGGTTAGCGCACTGTGTGTGTGGGGAGTGGTGGTACAGTGGTTAGCGCACTGTGTGTGTGTGTGTGGGGGGAGCGGTGGTGCAGTGGTTAGCGCACTGTGTGTGTGTGTGGGGAGCGGTGGTGCAGTGGTTAGCGCAGTGTGGGGAGCGGTGGTGCAGTGGTTAGCGCACACTGCCCATCTCCCCAGCTGCGACTCCCCCTCTGAATGTCCGCGTGGAGTCTCGCGACCTGCTGACGCAACTCCGCTGGGACCACGACGCTCAAGTGGACGTCGCCACCAGCAGCAGCTCAAAGCTCCTGGACGTTACCTACAGGGTGGACAGCAAACTGTGAGATGCTCGCTCACTCGCTCACCCACTTACTCACTCACCCACCCACTCACTCACCCACCCACTCACTCGCTCACTCACCTACCAATCCACTCACTCAACCATCCACTCACTCATTCGCTCACCCACCCACTCACTCACCCACTCACTCACCCACTCACTCACCCACTCACTCAACCATCCACTCACTCGCTCACCCACCCACTCACCCACCCACTCGCTCACTCGCTCACCCACTCGCTCACTCGCTCACCCACTCGCTCACCCACCCACTCACTCAACCATCCACTCACTCGCTCACCCACCCACTCGCTCACCCACTCGCTCACCCATCCACTCACTCGCTCACCCACCCACTCGCTCACCCACCCACTCGCTCACCCACCCACTCGCTCACCCATGCACTCACTCACCCATCCACTCACTCATCCATCCATCCACTCACCCACTCACCCACTCGCTCACCCACCCACTTACTCACCCATCCACTCACCCACCCATCCACTCACCCACCCATCCACTCACCCACCCACTTACTCACCCACCCACTCTCTCACTCAACCACCCACTCACACACCCACCCACTCACTCTCCCACTCACACACTCAACCACCCACTCACTCACTCACCCACCCACTCACTCACTGACTAATGCACTCACCCACCCACTTACTCACCCACTCACTCACTGACTAACACACTCAACCACCCACTCACTCACTCACTGACGAACTCACTCACCCACCCACTCACTCACTGACTCACCCACTCACTCACTAACGCACTCAACTACCCACTCACTCACCCACTCACTCACTCACTCACCCACTCACTCACTGACTAATGATTTCACCCACCCACTTACTCACCCACTCACTCACTGACTAACACACTCAACCACCCACTCATTCACCCACTCACTCACTGAATAACTCACTCACCCACCCACTCACTCACTGACTCACCTACTCACTCACTGACTAACGCACTCAACTACCCACTCACTCACCCACTCACTCACCCACTTACTCACCCACTCACTCACTGACTACCGCACTTACCCACCCACTTACTCACCCACCCACTCTGTCACTCACCCACTCACCCACCCACTCACTCACTGACTCACCCACTCACTCACCCACCCACTCACTCACTGACTCACCCACTCACTCACCCACTTACCCACTCACTCGCCCACTCACCCGCTTGCTCACTCACCCACCCACTCACTCACCCACTCACTCACTGACTCACCGACCCACTCACCCACCCACCCACTCACCCGCTCCTCACCACCTCCTCCTCCCCGTGTCTCTGTCTGTGCAGCTATGGACGAGCCCGCTGGCGGACCGTCTGCGCTGCCACCGCAGAGACACGGTGCGATGTCTCCTCAGCGCTGCGACATCCCGGCGACCGCTATCACCTTCGCATCAGATCCACCGTCTCATCGCCACCACCAACACCACCATCATCCTCACCCTGGGTCGTGGTTGAGGTGTTACCCTTGAAGACAAGTGAGTGGCGTTGTTTATGTTTCTCTCTGTGTGTGTCTCTGTCTCTGTGTGTCTCTGTGTGTGTCTGTCTGTGTGTGTGTGTCTCTGTGTGTGTCTTCGCCGGTTGGAAACATTTAAGCTGGCCTGCCTACGATCCATCCTGGGTTTAACCAGGCTGGATTGTGTGAGGAGCTCACAAATCCTTGAAAGATCTGGGCAAAGTCCGGCAGGCAAGGCTGCATTGGCTGGGTCATGTGGCCCGCATGCCCTGCCACCGCATGCCTAAACAGCTTTTGTTCGGCCGGATCGAGGGGGCTAAACGGGCGCGGCACGGGCTAGAGAAGAGATGGGGTGATGTGGTACAGAAGGACGTGGAGCTGAGTGGACTTGCCGATGACTGGTACCAGCGGTGTCAAGATCGGCCTCTGTGGAGGAGGCTCGTGAAGGACGCTACTGGGCAGTTGGAGGCAGTCGCCCTCCAACAACAACGGAGGGTGGAGGAGCGACGCTCACAACAACGAGCAGAGCGCCGGGTGGCTAAAGCACAGCAAGTTGGTACAGTAGGGGGCACAGGTGGTGCATCAGCCAGTCATCTCGGTCATCTCGGTCAGTAGACCCGTGGCACCTGCTGGGTCTGCCCCGTGACCTCCTGCCAGCGGGCGTTCAACACTTCACGTGGCAGCCTCATGGTGCACTTGGCCTGGCACAAGCGTGGTGGTGACGTCACCGCCACTTAGTGGCGAATGGCGGTTGTTGTTGTTGTCTCTGTGTGTGAGTGTCTCTGTGTGTGTCTGTGAGTGTCTCTGTGTGTCTGTGTGTCTCTGTGTGTGTCTCCGTGTGTGTGTCTGTGTGAGTGTCTCTGTGTGTGTCTCTGTATGTGTGTCTCTGTATGTGTGTCTGTGTGTGGGTGTCTCTGTGTGTGTGTGTCTCTGTGTGTGTCTCCGTGTGTGTGTCTGTGTGAGTGTCTCTGTGTGTGTCTGTGTGTGTCTCTGTCTCTGTGTGTGTCTGTGTGTGGGTGTCCCTGTGTGTGTGTGTCTCTGTGTGTGTCTGTGTGTGTCTCTGTATGTGTGTCTGTGTGTGTCTGTGTGTCTCTGTGTGTATGTCTGTGTGTGTGTCTGTGTGAGTGTCTGTGTGTATGTCTGTGTGTGTGTCTGTGTGAGTGTCTGTGTCTGTGTGAGTGTGTCTGTGTGTGGGTGTCTCTGTGTGCTGCTCTGGCACCAACAGTCTGTTCAGGCTAGGGGGGTGAGTGAGATGACGTCATCTCCTCACCAGGTGAGTGAGATGACGTCATCTCTTCACCAGGTGAGTGAGATGACGTCATCTCTTCACCAGGTGAGTGAGATGACGTCATCTCCTCACCAGGTGAGTGAGATGACGTCATCTCACCAGACGAGGGAGATGACGTCATCTCCCTCCCCCCCCCCCCCCCGTGTCTCAGCCGTGCTGAGTGCTCCGACTGTCACCTTGATGCTGCACAAGAACGTGACGCTGGAGGAGGAGGGGGGTGATGATGAGGGGGAGGGTGGTGAGGAGGGGGAGGAGTGTGGTGGTGAGGAGGGTGAGGACTACGAAGATGATGACGACGATGGCTACGACGATGATGACTACGATGATGATGATGAGGGTGATGATGATGATGAGGGTGATGATGAGGATGATGAGGGTGATGATGATGATGAGGGTGATGATGATGATGAGGGTGATGATGAGGATGATAGTGGCGACGGTGATGGGGCCGACGGTGATGGCGGTGACGGTGATAACTACGATGATGATGATGATGAGGGTGATGGCGGTGACGGTGATGGTGGCGACGCTGATGACGACGATGAGGGTGATGGCGGTGACAGTGATGGCGGTGATGGGGCCGACGGTGATGGCGGTGGCGGTGATGGCAGTGACGGTGATGGCGGTGACGCTGATGATGATGATGATGATGGCGGTGATGGCGGTGACGGTGATGATGATGATGGCGGTGATGGTGGTGACGGTGATGACGACGACAATGAGTTTTATGACGACGATGACGACGACGACAATGAGGGAGAGCGGAAGGCGTGGGAGCTGTCCGTGCGGGTCTCCATGAGCAGCGAGTGGAGGAGGAGGATGGGTGAGTGGGTGGTGGTTAGGTGGGTGGGTGAGTGGGTAGGTGGGTGGGTTGGTGGGTGAGTGAGTGGATGGGTGTTTGAGTGGGTGGGTGGGTGTGTGAGTGGGTGAGTGAGTGGGTGGGTGGGTGAGTGGGTGAGTCAGTGGGTGAGTGGGTGGGTGAATGAGTGGGTGTGAGGGAGTGGGTGTGAGTGAGTGGGTGGGTGAGTGAGTGAGTGGGTGGGTGGGTGAGTGAGTGAGTGAGTGGGAGGGTGGGTGGGTGGGTGTGCGGGTGAGTGAGTGAGTGAGTGGGTGGGTGGGTGGGTGAGTGGGTGGGTGGGTGGGTGAGTGGGTGGGTGGGTGGGTGAGTGGGTGGGTGGGTGAGTGGGTGGGTGAGTGGGTGGGTGAGTGAGTGGGTGGGTGAGTGAGTGGGTGGGTGGGTGAGTGAGTGGGTGGGCGGTTGAGTAGGTGGTTGAGTGGGTGGTTGAGTGGGTGGTTGAGTGGGTGGGTGGTGATGCTACTACTACTGATGATGATGCTATTGCTGCTGCTGCTACTACTGATGATGATGCTATTGCTGCTGCTGCTACTACTGATGATGCTATTGCTGCTGCTGCTACTACTGATGATGCTATTGCTGCTGCTGCTGCTACTACTGATGATGCTATTGCTGCTGCTGCTGCTACTACTGTTGATGATGATACTCAGGTTAACACGTAGCAGGCTTCGCGACCAATATCATCCAAAAGAGGTTTTTGGGTTAGATCACGTAAATATATAAATGATGTGTCGTTAAAACCCGCGACCACCCGACACAGCCAACTCGTGAGGGTTGTCACGTAAACAGAACGTGGCCAATGTACATGTGTGTGTGTTTGGATGGATGGGTTTTGCGAGTTGAGATGATTTAGAAACGCGCTCAGTGTATCTTTGCTGTGTGGCCAGACCACCGACGTGTCATCCACGTAACGCAGCACACTGAGACCATCTGCTTGCTCCTGCCAGGAGCGCTTTGTGGGATGTCGCTACCGCCACGCGCTGCCTCAGCCTGCAGGCGCCGCTGAGTACTGCGTCCGCGTGAGAGTCATAGTCAACTACCCGCGGTGGAAGACAGGGGAGTGGTCTCCCCTGTCGTGTGTCTCCGTCCCTCCACCACACAGCGCCGTGGGTGAGTGGGTGAGTGGGTGGGTGGGTGAGTGGGTGGGTGGGTGAGTGGGTGGGTGAGTGGGTGGGTGGTTGAGTGAGTGGGTGGGTGAGTGTGTCAGTGAGTGGGTGAGTGGGTGGGTGAGTGGGTGGGTGAGTGTGTCAGTGAGTGGGTGAGTGGGTGGGTGGGTGGGTGAGTGGATGGGTGAGTGGGTGGGTGGGTGAGTGTATGAGTGAGTGGGTGTGTGAGTGGGTGGGTGGGTGAGTGGGTGGGTGGGTGGGTGAGTGGGTGGGTGGGTGAGTGAGTGAGTGGGTGTGTGAGTGAGGGTGGGGAGCGGTAGTGCAGCGGTTAGCGCACTGCGCTATGAACCCGGCGACACGAGTTCGATTCCCGCTCACGGCCAACACCAGTGACGATTATCTGAACCGGTCCCGGGCCTCCCCTAGGTCGACTCAGCCTCAAATGACCCAGCCAACGCAGCCTTGCCTGGCGGAGGAGCTCACCGATGGGACTTTGTCCAGATCTTTCTGGGATTTATGAGCTCCTCACACAATCCAGCCTGGTTAAACCCAGGATGGATCGTAGGCAGGCCAGCCTTAATGTTTTTAAGCGGCGAATATGTTCCATTAGGGGGGTCCACTTTTCGCAAGCGTAGAGAAGGGAGGGAATGATTGTGGCCGAGAAGATCTGAAGCTTCGTGCAGAGCAACAGACCAGGTAGCTTCCACACACCGTTACACAACCAATGAAAAGATATTGCCGCTTGACTGATTCGGAGTGAGACCTCTGCTGTTAAACCGGAGCCGGCCATGATCACACTGCCCAGGTATGGGAAACTCTCCACTCTCTCCACAACTGCCCCATCACCAAATGGGAGTTGTGGGGGTGGAGTGTCCAATGGTACAAAATACCCAGGCAGGTGCTTAGTTTTGGTGGGTCTGATGGTAAGGCCCCACCTCTTAGTGGCACGCTCCAGTCTCAGCAGCAGCGCCTCCAAATCCTCCTCTGAGTGAGCAGCAATTACTAGATCATCGGCATACATAACATGGTTGAGCAATAGGGAGCTATCCCTTGACCGCACCTGGGCATCAATCAGCCTCCCATTGTATCTGTACCAGATGGAAATTCCTCTGGTACAGCCATCGAAGGCTTCACGAACTACGTGGTCAAAATAGATGTTCAATAATGTGGGAGCTAGAGGACATCTCTGTTGCACCCCAAGGTAAAAAGGGAATGGCTCTGACTCCCAGCCACGTAGTTTTACCCGGGCCCGCTCACCATCACGAAGGTCCTTAATAATCGTGAGCAGAGGGTCAGGGACTGCAAAAGCACGAACAATGACCCAGAGCCCAGGCCTACTGATGGTATCATAGGCCTTGACCAGGTCAATAAAGCAGAGATGTAGGTCTTGTTGGAATTCCCTCCACCTCTGCTGTAGCAGACGGACAGAAAATATGGCATCTGTGCAGGACCGCCCTTTCCTGAAACCACATTTGGGCTACGCAAGCCTCTCCTCAGTGTGCCTGGCAAGGCGATGTTGAATAGACACACAGACACACATAGACAGACACACACAGACAGACACAGGCAGATAAAGATCCCCCGTATAGCCTTAACAGACTGTAGGGGCAAGTGCTGTTAGCGAGCACCTATGAAGGCCGGAACGGTACACACAGACAGACACACAGACACAGACAGACACACACAGACAGACACACAGACACAGACAGACACACACAGCCACACACAGACAACAACAACCGCCATTTGCCACTAAGTGGTGGTGACATCACCACGACGCTTGTGCCAGGCCACACACACAGACAAACAGACAGCCACAGACACACACAGACACACACGGACAGACACTGCCACACACAGACAAACACAGACACACAGAGACACACACAAGACAGACACAGAAAAGTGATGAAGACCAAAACCTCATCACTAACCTCATACAACAACACTGATCAGCATCCCACTCTGTCTGTGTCTCCCTGTCTCTCTGTTTCTCTGTCTGTATCTGTCTCACTGTGTCTCTCTGTCTGTGTCTCCCTGTCTCTCTGTCTGTATCTGTCTCGCTGTGTCTCTCTGTCTGTGTCTCCCTGTCTCTCTCTCTGTCTCTCTGTCTGTATCTGTCTCACTGTGTCTCTCTGTCTGTGTCTCTCTGTCTTTCTCTGTCTCTCTGTCTGTATCTGTCTCACTGTGTCTCTCTGTCTGTGTCTCCCTGTCTCTCTCTCTGTCTCTCTGTGTATCTGTCTCACTGTGTCTCTCTGTCTGTGTCTCCCTGTCTCTCTCTCTGTCTCTCTGTCTGTATCTGTCTCACTGTGTCTCTCTGTCTGTGTCTCCCTGTCTCTCTCTGTTTCTCTGTCTGTGTCTGTCTCTCTCTGTCTTTATCTGTCTCCCCGCGTCTCACCGTATCTCCCCGCGTGTGTCCCCAATCCCGTAGCCGCCACCACCGCCGCCACCTCCCGCTCCTCCCGACCCTCGTCCGCGGTGTCTACGGGAGACGAGGCGACGCTCCCCGCCGGTGGCGGCAGCGCCTCCATCAGCTTGATGGCGGCCATAGCGGTGCTGGCGATCCTCCCCTTCGTGGTGTGCACCACGTGGGGCACACGGAGTGCCGGCAAACGTGGCGGTGAGTGTTGTGGTGGCTATGAGATGTTGACGGTGAGCGTTGTGGTGGCGTTGTGGTGACGTTGTGGTGGCTATGAGATGTTGACGGTGAGCGTTGTGGTGGCGTTGTGGTGGCTATGAGATGTTGACGGTGAGCGTTGTGGTGGCGTTGTGGTGACGTTGCGGTGGCGTTGTGGTGGCTATGAGATGTTGCCGGTGAGCGTTGTGGTGGCTATGAGATGTTGACGGTGAGTGTTGTGGTGGCGTTGTGGTGGCTATGAGATGTTGCCGGTGAGCGTTGTGGTGGCTATGAGATGTTGACGGTGAGTGTTGTGGTGGCGTTGTGGTGGCTATGAGATGTTGACTGCCTCGCCTGGTACACGGGAGGTCGTGGGTTCGATCACGACCCTGACGACGCCTGCTGCTGCTGCTGCTGGTGTGTATTTGGAGTTTGCTCCGCACTCACGTGCCTCGTGAGTTTCTCTCCGCACTCTGCGCGATGTTCTCGTTCCCCAGCGGACGAGCAAGGAGGGAGCTCCCCGAGCCTGGTGCCTGAGAGAGATGCCGTCTCTGCCGAGTGCAGGTAGCCACCAACACTAACACCATCGCCACCACCACCACCAACACCACAGCCACCATCACCACCAACACTAACACCATCACCAACACCACCACCGCCACCACCACCATCGTCACCGCCACCGCCACCACCACCATCATCATCATCACCACCACCATCACCGCCACCACCACCATCATCATCACCACCGCCACCACCATCATCATCACCACCACCGTCACCACCACCACCATCACCGCCACCATCACCGCCACCACCGCCGCCGCCACCACCGCCACCACCATCATCACCACCGCCACCACCACCATCCCAGACACTGAGAGTTCTTGACCACCTCGCCTGGTACGCAGGAGGTCGTGGGTTCAATCCCAGAAACTGAGAGATGTTGACCACCTCGCCTGGCACGCAGGAGGTCGTGGGTTCAATCCCAAACACTGAGAGATGTTGACCACCTCGCCTGGCACGCAGGAGGTCGTGGGTTCAATCCCAGAAACTGAGAGATGTTGACCACCTCGCCTGGTACGCAGGAGGTCGTGGGTTCAATCCCAGACACTGAGAGATGTTGACCACCTCGCCTGGCACGCAGGAGGTCGTGGGTTCAATCTCAGACACTGAGAGATGTTGACCACCTCGCCTGGCACGCAGGAGGTCGTGGGTTCAATCCCAGACACTGAGAGATGTTGACTACCTCGCCTGGAACGCAGGAGGTCGTGGGTTCAATCCCAGACACTGAGAGATGTTGACCACCTCGCCTGGAACGCAGGAGGTCGTGGGTTCAATCCCAGACACTGAGAGATGTTGACCACCTCGCCTGGCACGCAGGAGGTCGTGGGTTCAATCCCAGACACTGAGAGATGTTGACTACCTCGCCTGGCACGCAGGAGGTCGTGGGTTCAATCCCAGACACTGGGAGATGTTGACCACCTCGCCTGGCACGCAGGAGGTCGTGGGTTCAATCCCAGACACTGAGAGATGTTGACCAGCTCGCCTGGCACGCAGGAGGTCGTGGGTTCAATCCCAGACACTGAGAGATGTTGACTACCTCGCCTGGCACGCAGGAGGTCGTGGGTTCAATCCCAGACACTGGGAGATGTTGACCACCTCGCCTGGCACGCAGGAGGTTGTGGGTTCAATCCCAGACACTGAGAGATGTTGACCAGCTCGCCTGGTACGCAGGAGGTCGTGGGTTCAATCCCAGACACTGGGAGATGTTGACCACCTCGCCTGACACGCAGGAGGTCGTGGGTTCAATCCCAGACACTGAGAGATGTTGACTACCTCGCCTGGCACGCAGGAGGTCGTGGGTTCAATCCCAGACACTGAGAGATGTTGACCACCTCGCCTGGCACGCAGGAGGTCGTTGGTTCAATGCCAGACATTGAGAGATGTTGACCACCTCGCCTGGCGCGCAGGAGGTCGTGGGTTCAATGCCAGACACTGAGAGATGTTGACCACCTCGCCTGACACGCAGGAGGTCGTGGGTTCAATGCCAGACACTGAGAGATATTGACCAGCTCGCCTGGTACGCAGGAGGTCGTGGGTTCAATCCCAGACACTGAGAGATGTTGACTACCTCGCCTGGCACGCAGGAGGTCGTGGGTTCAATCCCAGACACTGGGAGATGTTGACCACCTCGCCTGGCACGCAGGAGGTCGTGGGTTCAATCCCAGACACTGAGAGATGTTGACCAGCTCGCCTGGTACGCAGGAGGTCGTGGGTTCAATCCCAGACACTGGGAGATGTTGACCACCTCGCCTGACACGCAGGAGGTCGTGGGTTCAATCCCAGACACTTGAGAGATGTTGACTACCTCGCCTGGCACGCAGGAGGTCGTGGGTTCAATCCCAGACACTGAGAGATGTTGACCACCTCGCCTGGCACGCAGGAGGTCGTTGGTTCAATGCCAGACATTGAGAGATGTTGACCACCTCGCCTGGCACGCAGGAGGTCGTGGGTTCAATGCCAGACACTGAGAGATGTTGACCACCTCGCCTGACACGCAGGAGGTTGTGGGTTCAATCCCAGACACTGAGAGATGTTGACTACCTCGCCTGGCACGCAGGAGGTCGTGGGTTCAATCCCAGACACTGAGAGATGTTGACCACCTCGCCTGGCACGCAGGAGGTCGTTGGTTCAATGCCAGACATTGAGAGATGTTGACCACCTCGCCTGGCACGCAGGAGGTCGTGGGTTCAATCCCAGACACTGAGATATGTTGACCACCTCGCCTGGCACGCAGGAGGTCGTGGGTTCAATGCCAGACACTGAGAGATGTTGACTACCTCGCCTGGCACGCAGGAGGTCGTGGGTTCAATCCCAGACACTGAGATATGTTGACCACCTCGCCTGGCACGCAGGAGGTCGTGGGTTCAATGCCAGACACTGAGAGATGTTGACCACCTCGCCTGGCACGCAGGAGGTCGTGGGTTCAATGCCAGACACTGAGAGATGTTGACCACCTCGCCTGGCACGCAGGAGGTCGTGGGTTCGATCCCCACCCTTGACGACGCCCGCCGATGTTTATTCGGTGGTCGCGTGACGTCTTCCGAATTAGAAATGTTTAGTCTACGAAACGGGCGCGAATAAGTTCCACTGTGCGTGCAACTCTCACGCGCTGCCCGGTACGTGCGCATCACCCTCGCCTACTTTCTCCGCTCCCTCCAGCGACGAGGAGGCCGCCACGGCGCGGATGACAGAGCGGCACGCGGAGACGGAGGTGTAAGAGGAGAAGAGGTGGAGGATGAGGTGTCAAGAGTCGGAGTCGGAAGTTTGTGTGTTTGTGGGCAAAGCGGCCACTGTAGTAGTACCGTCCTTGTTGCTGTTGTTATATTGATGGTGAAAAGTTATTTACCACCCACCCCCCTCACCCCGACTTTATATTGAAGCTTTTAGTTGTGTGATGTCCGGTACTCACACAGAGACCCAAAGACTCGCCACACAGAGACCCACAGAGTCACCACACAGAGACCCACAGACTCACCACACAGAGACCCACAGACTCACCACACAGAGACCCATAGACTCACCACTCAGAGACCCACAGACTCACCACTCAGAGACCCACAGACTCACCACACAGAGACCCATAGACTCACCACTCAGAGACCCACAGACTCACCACTCAGAGACCCACAGACTCACCACACAGAGACCCACAGACTCACCACACAGAGACCCATAGACTCACCACTCAGAGACCCACAGATTCACCACTCAGAGACCCACAGACTCACCACACAGAGACCCACAGACTCACCACACAGAGACCCATAGACTCACCACTCAGAGACCCACAGACTCACCACTCAGAGACCCACAGACTCACCACACAGAGACCCACGGAGTCACCACACAGAGACCCACAGACTCACCACACAGAGACCCACAGACTCACTACACACAGACCCATAGACTCACCACACAGAGACCCATAGACTCACCACTCAGAGACCCACAGACTCACCACTCAGAGACCCACAGACTCACCACACAGAGACCCACAGACTCACCACACAGAGACCCACAGACTCACCACACAGAGACCCACAGACTCGCATAGAGACCCACAGACTCACCACGCAGAGACTCGCCACACAGACTCACCACACAGAGAGACCCACAGACTCACCACACAGAGACCCACAGACTCACCACACAGAGACCCACAGACTCACCACACAGAGACCCACAGACTCACACAGCAGAGACCCACAGACTCACCACACAGAGACCCACAGACTCACCACACAGAGACCCACAGACTCATCACACAGAGACCCACAGACTCACACAGAGACCCACAGACTCACACAGCAGAGACCCACAGACTCACCACGCAGAGACCCACAGACTCACCACACAGAGACCCACAGACTCACACAGCAGAGACCCACAGACTCACCACACAGAGACCCACAGACTCACCACACAGAGACCCACAGACTCATCACACAGAGACCCACAGACTCACACAGAGACCCACAGACTCACCACACAGAGACCCACAGACTCACACAGAGACCCACAGACTCACCACACAGAGACCCATCACACAGAGACCCACAGACTCACCACACAGAGTGGTGAGGGTGGTGGTGGGTGGTGGTGGGTGGGTGGTGGTGGGTGGTGGTGGTGAGGGTGGTGGTGAGGGTGGTGGGTGGTGGTGGTGGGTGGGTGGTGGTGAGGGTGGTGGTGGGTGGTGGTGAGTGTGGTGGGTGGTGGTGGTGAGGGTGGTGGTGGTGAGGGTGGTGGTGGTGAGGGTAGTGGTGGGTGGTGGTGAGTGTGAGTGTGCGTTGTTGAGGGCAGGTCCATAATATATTTTCCAGAACTATCCGAGAGAATCGACAGAAAAGCGTCGTCCGTTCGACTCGGGGGGAGTGGGGGTGGTCGCTTTGCCCATCGCGGTTCTGTTTGTCGTCGCCACGTGTCCCAGCGTTGGAGGAGACGTGGCCTCGTCTCTCCCTGCCTGGCTGCCTGCCCCGTGAGTGAGTGAGGCTGCCTGCCCAGCTGTTTTGTTGTTTGCTGGGGGAGACATTGTGGTGCTGGTGGTGGTGCTGGTGATGGTAATAAAAGTGGCAAGTTCACTTACCTGGGCTGGAACTGCTCTGAGCAGGTGGGCGCATCGTGATGATGTTGTTGTTGTTGTGCACGAGACTTGAACTAGAAACTAGACCGCGTTTTATTTTAGCGGGCAAGGGCCTCATTGAGATGCTGTGTGTGTAAGCTCTCTTTTCGAAGGCCCTGACCTGGGCATTACCGATGATAGTTCTACCAATGAGGTTCATCATCATCATCACGTGAACCTTTATAGCAGTTGGCAAAGACTCTAGCAACTCACGTCTCTCAAATGTGGAGGGGAAAACCAGAGGGCCCGGAAAGAAAATCCACTCGACAACAGAAAGACAAGAGAGACACAAACTCTATGCAGCAGCTGCAGCATCAACTGCCAGTCTCTGTGCGTGTCTGTGTCTCTGCGTGTGTCTGTGTCTGTAACGGTGTGTCTGTGTCTATGTCTCTGCGTGTCTTTGTGTCTCTGCGTGCATGTCTCTGTGTGTCTCTACGTGTCTCTGCGTGTGTGTCCATGTCTCTGTGTGTGTGTGTCTCTGCATGTCTACGTGTGTGTCCATGTCGTCTCTGTGTGTGTCTGTGTCTCTGTGTGTGTGTCTGTGTGTGTGTCTATGTCTCTGTGTGTGTGTCTGTGTCTCTGCATGTGTGTCTCTGTGTGTCTCTGCGTGTGTGTCTGTGTGTGTCTCTCTGTGTGTGTCTGTCTCTGTGTGTGTGTCTCTGTGTGTGTGTGTGTCTCTGCGTGTGTCTCTGTGTGTGTGTCTATGTGTGTGTCTGTGTCTCTGTGTGTCCATGTCTCTGTGTGTGTGTCTCTGTGTGTGTGTCTATGTCTCTGTGTGTGTGTCTCTGTGTGTGTGTCTATGTCTCTGTGTGTGTGTCTCTGTGTGTGTGTCACTGTGTGTGTGTGTCTGTGTCACTGCGTGTGTGTGTCTGTGTGTCTCTGTGCGTGTGTCTGTGTGTCTCTGTGTGTGTGTGTGTCTCTGTGTGTGTGTCTATGTCCAGGACCTACTGTGGAGCTGATCTGTCCTCTGACCATCGACTAGTCATCTGTAAGATGCGCCTGCCTTTCTTCCACTCCGGTGGTGGGTGTACACCCAGGATCCCATTCCAACCAAAAGTGGCCTGGTCTCAGTTAGCTGATGAAAGTTGCAAGCGAGAATTTCATCATCGCTTGCAGCTGGGGTTGGCATCGTCCCCCACTCCACCTGATGTCGAGGGGAAATGGGCGAGGTTTAAGACTGTGACTCATGCAGCTGCAATGGCTGCTTTGGGTACGCGGTCCAGACCTCCCCAGAAACCCTGGCTGACAGAGGAGGTGTTCAGGTTAATTGAGAAAAAGCGTCAGGCCCACTCTCATCGCCTACAGCATCCCACGTCAGAGAATGAGGAGGTTTACCGCAGCCTTCGCTCGGAAGTTCGGAGAGCCGTCAGGCGCTGTAAGGATGGGTGGTGGTCGCGGGTTGCTGAGGAGATGGAGTCTGCCTCAGTGGCCCGTGATCACAAATCACTATTTAACTCCATCAAAAAAGTAACCTCCAGCGCCACACCTATTACCATCATTAGAGGAAAAAACGGTGATCCAATCTCCGACCCCCAGGAACAGGTTTGCAGATTTGCTGAGCATTTCTGTGAGGTCCTGGGGGAGGGAAATTCTCTCAGCCAGGAAAACATCATGGCACAAAGTGGTGATAACCCTGCTGAGGCTGCGGTGCCTCAAATATTGGAAGAGGTCACCCCCTGTGAGTGGCTGGCTGAGGTGCCATCTGTTGAGGAAGTACTGAAGGCGATCCGGAGTCTGAGACCAGGAAAGGCACCGGGCAGAGATGATCTCCCAAGCGAAATGCTGAGGGAGGGTGGCGTTTGTGCACAGACTGCCCTATATGACATCATAACAACAGTCTGGACCACTGGACGGGTTCCGCAGGACTGGAAGGATGCCCTGGTGGTTCCCCTCTTTAAGAAGGGGGACCGTACCGACTGTAACAACTACAGGGGCATCTCACTCCTCAGTGTGCCGGGTAAGGTCCTGGCAAGGATTATTCAACATCGCCTTGCTAGGCACGCTGAGGAGAGGCTTGCGGAGCCCCAATGCGGTTTCAGGAAAGGGCGGTCCTGCACAGATGCCATATTTTCTGTCCGTCTGCTACAGCAGAGGTGTAGGGAATTCCAAAAAGACCTACATCTCTGCTTTATTGACCTGGTCAAGGCCTATGATACCATCAGTAGGACTGGACTCTGGGTTGTTCTTCGTGCTTTCGGAGTCCCTGACCCTCTGCTCACGATCATTAAGGACCTTCATGATGGTGAGCGGGCCCGGGTAAAACTACGTGGCCGGGAGTCGGAGCCTTTCCCTGTACACCTTGGGGTGCGACAGGGATGTCCTCTGGCTCCCACATTATTTAACATCTATTTTGACCGCGTAGTTCGTGAAGCCTTCAATAGCTGTACCGGGGGAATTTCCATTTGGTACAGATATAATGGGAGGCTGATCGACGCCCGGGTGCGATCAAGGGATGGCTCCCTATTGGTCAACCACGTTATGTATGCCGATGATTTGGTAATAGCTGCTCATTCAGAAGAGGAGTTGGAGGCGCTGCTGCTGAGACTGGAGCGTGCCACTAAGAGGTGGGGCCTTACCATCAGCCCCACCAAAACTAAGCACCTGCCTGGGTATTTTGTACCATCGGACACTCCACCCCCACAACTCCCAATTGGTGATGGGGCAGTTGTGGAGAGAGTGGAGAGTTTCCCATACCTGGGCAGTGTGCTTATGACCGGCTCCAGTCTATCAGCAGAGGTCTCACTCCGAATCAGTCGAGCGGCAATATATTTTCATCGGTTGCGTAACGCTGTGTGGAAGCTACCTGGTCTGTCGCTCCGCACGAAGCTTCAGGTCTTCTCGGCCACGGTCATTCCCTCCCTTCTCTACGCTTGCGAGACGTGGACCCCCCTGGTGGAGCATCTTCGCCGGTTGGAAACATTTAGGCTGGCCTGCCTACGATCCATCCTGGGTTTAACCAGGCTGGATTGTGTGAGGAGCTCACAAATCCTTGAAAGATCTGGGCAAAGTCCCATCAGTGAGCTCCTCCGGCAGGCAAGGCTGCGTTGGCTGGGTCATGTAGCCCGCATGCCCAGCCACCGCATGCCTAAACAGCTTTTGTTCGGCCGGATCGAGGGGGCTAGACGGGCGCGGCACGGGCTGGAGAAGAGATGGAGTGATGTGGTACAGGAGGACGTGGAGCTGAGTGGACTTGCCGATGACTGGTACCAGCGGTGTCAAGATCGGCCTCAGTGGAGGAGGCTCGTGAAGGACGCTACTGGGCAGTTGGAGGCAGTCGCCCTCCAACAACAACGGAGGGCGGAGGAGCGACGCTCACAACAACGAGCGGAGCGCCGGGTGGCTAAAGCACAGCAAGTTGGCACAGTAGGGGGCACAGGTGGTGCATCAGCCAGTCATCTCGGTCATCTCGGTCAGTCGACCCGTGGCACCTGGGTCTGCCCCGTGACCTCCTGCCAGCGGGCTTTCGACACTTCACGTGGCCTCAAGGTGCACTTGGCCTGGCACAAGCATCGTGGTGACGTCACCGCCACTTAGTGGCGAATGGCGGTTGTTGTTGTTGTGTCTATGTCTCTGTGTGT